AAGACACTATACGTTCGGTAGAGTTCAGAATAGATCATCCCACTAGCTTCGGAATAGTCCGGCCGCAGTTTTTTCTCGGGCACTTTTTTTGTAATTATTTCACGCCACCTCTCCAAATTCAAGTCACGCGATTTTTTTTTATCAGGTGATCGACTTCTTTTGGTGCGATCTCGGTTAAAACCCGAAAGCTCGGGGTCGGCCTACACCGGACTCTAGGGCTTTGACAGTTATATAGTTGAAAAGGGCCAATTAAAAACACAATAAGTACGGTAGAGTCCAGAATAGATCATCCCACTAGCTTCTTTTGAAGTTAATTCTATGCGCCTCTCTCAAATATCGATCACAAGTAATCTTTCTCCAATCAAACAACGAGAAGCGCACACTCCCTTATAGAACTCCAAACAATACTAACAGAGGTCATATTGTTGTATCATCTATTTTTTAGAAATATACCCGAATTGCATACAGTACCAACATATACGTACACATCAACAAATATAGAAATCTAAAGTCACAAGTTTCAATCTTCCAATCAGATCCTCCGATTTGTACACAGACACTTAACTCTCCAGTAAACCATGCACTTCGTACTTCGTACCACGTTCCTGGTATAAAACAAACCATGAAACCAACGAATAAATTATGGATAACGTGGTACTGACAATTAACATCTGACTTCTAAGTAAAAATACATACAAGAAATACGTATCTGATATAAATTTTGAAGCAATGCTACACGTAAAGTTACCATAATATGTTGTGTCACCTTATAGTGGCACAAAACTTTAAAATAGTGACATTTTAATTTAAAATGTTGATTCGGATTTGTTTTTTTTTTACCACATTTAAAAAAGTAAAATGAAGAAGATTTATAATAATCTATTTCATCATAAAAAATCAACAAGGTTAGATACTTATAACCTTGGATACAATTTTCAACATGGAATTGGAGTTGAGAAAGATGAACATAAGGCATTCATTTATTATCAAAAATCAGCAGAGATGGGGGACGTTGAGGGAACATTTGCACTTGGTGACTGTTATCTTGATGGATTTGGAGTTGAAAAGGATGAACATAAGGCATTCATTTATTATCAAAAATCGGCAGAGATGGGTGACGCTATGGGAGCATATCAGGTTGGATATTGTTATCGAAATGGAATTGGAGTTGACAAGGATGAACATAAGGCATTCATTTATTATCAAAAATCGGCAGAGATGGGGTACGCTATGGGAACATATAATGTTGGATATTGTTATCAAAATGGAATTGGAGTTGAAAAGGATGAACATAAGGCATTCATTTATTATCAAAAATCGGCAGATGAACATAAGGCATTCATTTATTATCAAAAATCGGCAGAGATGGGTGACGCTATGGGAACATATAATGTTGGATATTGTTATGAAAATGGAATTGGAGTTGTAAGGGATGAGCATAAGGCATTCATTTATTATCAAAAATCAGCGGAGATGGAGTATGTAGGTGGAATATTCGCTCTTGGCAACTGTTATAAAGATGGATTTGGAGTTGAAAAGAGTGAACATAAGGCATTCATTTATTATCAAAAATCGGCAAAGATGGGGAACACTATAAGTGCTTATCATGTTGGATATTGTTATCGAAATGGAATTGGAGTAACAAGAGATTTACAAAAAGCTAATGAATGGTACCAAAAGTAAGATATTTTTTATACTGCAATAGTAAAATTACAAATTTCTTTTTTTAATGAATATAAATATAATTAAATAAATCATATTATTAGAGAACGGAAACAAATTTCAGGTAATTAATTGTTTAATTATTATCGATTATATTTTATTTGTCAAATGATTCAAATATAATGATAATAATTTAACTTTATTAGCAAAAAATAGGCAAATATATGATAATTTAGATATTGATAATAATTTAAAAGAAATATTAAATGAAAACAAATATTTGTTATATTGGATTTCTTATAATGAGTTTGAAGATATTGAAATTATAGGGGAAGGTGGATTTGCGACAGTATACCGTGCTAGGTGGATGGATAAAGACCGAAATGCTAAAGGGCCTGTTGCACTTAAATTGCTTCATAATTCAAAAGAGTATAATGAAGAATTTGTGAAAGAAGTAAGTTTTATTTATGTGCTAATGTTTAAAATTTTAATGATTTATATTTAATTACTTATTTTTGTGTGAAAGTTAAAAGCATATTGTGAGATTGGCAATAAAAATTTAACATTTTTAAGGTGCTATGGAATATCAAAAGATGATTCTTCTGGCGATTATATTCTCGTTTTAGAGTATGCAGATATGGGTTCTTTGCGTAGCAATCTTCACGCTATAGGACAAATGGGATGGCAAAACAAATTAGCTTTATTGCATTGTATTGCTTTTGATCTTCAACTAATTCATTCTCAAGAACTTATTCATCGAGATTTGCATAGCGGTAATGTTTTGCTAAATAGTTTACATAGTGCATATATTGCGGATTTAGGACTTTCGATGGCAACAAGCATAGCATTAAAGGCAGAACGTCGTGGTGTTTGTGGAATTTTACCATATATAGCACCTGAAGTTTTAGACGGAGGTCAATATACAACAGCGTCAGATATTTACTCATTTGGAATCATTATGTGGGAAATTTTATATGGAAAATCAGTTTCCTATAATCAAAGTTTCGGGATACAACTTCAAATAGATATATGCCGTAATAATTTACGACCAATAGTTATTGAAAACTCTCCACAATGTTACGTAAGCCTAATGAAGAAATGTTGGGAAAGAGAACCAACAAACCGCCCATCAGCAACAGAAATCTGTAAAATCCTTACAGAATGGCAGAATGATGAAATTATTTTATATGAATTAAATAAGTCAACTGAAATATTAGAAAGTATTGAAAGTACACTTATACAATCTTATTCTGCTGACTTTTATAAAAGCAAATTTCTTAAACATACTACTACCTTACTTTATCAAGGTATCTATGTGATTCTTTTTCTCAATAATTCAAATCCGTTCCTTATTATTAATTATAATTATTTAACAGATAGCGGATTGAGTGGGTTGAATATTACAGAGTGATAAAAAATTTTTTTTAGCTAAAAAAAAATTATTATTTGGGTGACGCCAAGGGAAAACAAGACTTTGATAATATCTTTGATCATATAAAATTTATATGATCGCAAAGTCTCATTTTCTCTTGACGTTATTCATTTAACAAAAGTAAAGCTACTTGCATAAGTAAAGTTAATTTTTTTATAACAAACCGATGATTTAGTGGAAAAAAGATCTGTTGTCAATTAAAAAATTGTTATGTGAAGCTAGGGATGGTAAAAATGTTTTATTACGTAATTAAAAACAGGTTATTTGGGATATCAGATATATTTAAATCCAGATTTAACTAGCATCAGTGAAAAATTGTTTATTCCATTTGTTACTATCCTTGGATGAAATTTTATGATTAAATAACAGTAATTTTTATAATATAAATAATTAAAACTGTACAAACATAATTGTAAAGATAAATTAGACAATATATTCGTTATTCGATAATCGTTATCTTGGGGTTATTAAAAAAAAATAACAGTAATTTTTTTTAAAAAGCATAAGATTTAGAAAATTCAGAGATCGTTTTAAAGAAGCTCGTTAAATAAAGGGAAACTGTATTTTATATTTATTGGTAAAATTAATTTCGTCAATAGTTTCGCCATTCGTCAATTTCCAAAGTTTCGTCTGACGAAACCATTGCGAAACCATTTCAGCATTGCAAAATATCATTACTTGGAATGTGTTACATAGGCACATAAAGATAAAAAAAAGGCATTTGTAAATCTGTTAAAAGTGGTAATTATGATGGACAACATAATCTTGGTTCCGCTATAAAGGTGGTATAGATACTACTAAAGATGAACAAAAGGCATTTGAATGGTATTCGAAATCTGCTGAAGGTGGCTGCAAAAAAAAGGATCATCAAATAATATCGGTGACTTTATAAAAGAATCATTACCCAGAAACAATTTAATAACTTGGATTCCATTTAATGAACTAGGATTTATACAAAAGATAGTTATGGGTTTGCAACAGTATTGTAAAATATTTTGCTTTCTAATTAGTACGCAAATACGCATCTTCAAATGAAATTTTTTTTATTAGTGAAACGTTACATTCTCGAAAAGTATAAATTAAACTAACACGTTACGTTACGTACCCGGTAATTTTTTCAAATAATCCAATCGGGGCAAAAAATTTGCCCACCTTTTGTTTGATATGGACCTCACTTTCAAAATTTCATAAATATATCATTTTGTGTACCCATAATATGTGACGTACTCCATAAATGAACCCTAACCTCTAAAACCAAACTTTATATCTCAGATATATAATAATTGGATCTGAATATATATATACCTTATAACAATTACAATGGATCCAAAACAAAATGAAAAATCAGATGAAACAATTGATCAAAAACAAGGAGAAGAACCAAACGAAACAACTGATCAAAAACCAAATGAAAAACAAACAGAAGAAAATGATTATGGCATTGAAAAAATTGATACAGCAAAAACGGTTTTTAACGGAGTTGGAACAATAACCGAAATATTTAAACCTTTTGTACCATATATTGATATTATATTAGGCGCTGCAAATGCTATAATTAAAATTTATGAAGATGCTAAATATAATAAAAATATTTGTTTAGTATTTGTAGAACGTATGCGAATTGCTAAATTCATTATCGAAAGATTAACAACATCTAAAGAATCTAATATAGAAATGTTTCAAAATCAATCATTTCTTGATGCTCTTGTAAAATTTAGTAATATTGTTCGTAGTATAAAAAAATTTGTTTTAGATATTTCTCAAATGAATCAAAGAAAAAGATTTTTTAACGCTACTGAGATTAAAGGAACTATTGATAAACTTAGACAAGATTTTAATGATGCAATGAATGATTTACAGTTTTCGATTATTGCTAATCAAATGATTGATAAAGCAGAGGAAGATAGAAAAATAGAAAGAGATCTTGATACAATGCAACAGGTATTTATTCTTTCTTTTTTTTAGGTACAATCTATCATATCATAACTCAAAATTCTCACCTTATTGACAAATTTATACTTTAATTTCATATAGTATTTGGAAAAAATATTAGAGTGTGTAGAAACCACCGTTGAACAAGTACAAAAAATTGCTATTGCAAATGAAGTGCTCAACAATGACTCTAAGAGTAATATTTGGAATACATTTAAAGCACCACAAATTGATTCTAGGGAAATCACAGATCCTAAAAGAGGTGCATCTCACGGGAAAGTGGTGAAAAAAGTTTATCTGGCATTGAATGTCGCTTGTAAACCATTCGAAATTTTAAATAATAATTCACCACAGTCTCATAAACAACAAGGTCGTCTTGCTATATTAAATGAATTACAACGATGTAGATATATTATTAAATTTCATGGTATTTCGAATGTGGATGGTCAAACTGTTTTGGTTTATGACTGGGCTGAGAAAGGAAATTTAAAAGATTATTATTCAGCAAAACAACTTTTATGGAAATCAAAACTTCAAATTGCGCGTGATATTTGTCACGGTCTAAATTTTCTATGTTATGTGGGTGTCCTTCATCACGATGTTCGCTGTGAAAATATTTTGGTAATTCTTTTGTTATTTTATAATTACTCGAAAAGCTGTTAAAATTTGTTAAAAATGTTAAAGTTGTTAAGAAGCTATTTCTTTAACATTTTAATTTGTCATTAAATTTTGTGTACAGTTAACTGATAGATTGGAACCCAAAATAACAAAGTTTGAACTTTGTCGCAAAACGGATCAAGAAACAACATATATTGACAATCCTATTGAAATGTTTCCTTGGATGGCTCCAGAAAAAATGAAAGGTGATCCATATACTCATAAATGTGAAGTTTTTAGGTAATCTTTAAACATCCTGATAATTTATGTAAATGCGTTCCCTAAAATACAAAAACAAATTTATCAATTTTGTTTTCAAATTAATAGTTTTGGTATGTTGCTCTGGGAACTTGCATATCAGAAGGTCCCATATGAAAAAATTACTTCTAAACAATCTATTAGAGACTTTGTGATGAAAGGTAACAGGGAAGTTTTTGAAAGTAGACATGGACCATCATATGTTCCTAAAGCTTTTACAAAAATTATTGATTATGGTAAATTATACAGACACATATATATATATATGTGTTTTTTTGTTGCTATTATTATTATTATTTTGTTTAGCTAATTCTTTTTATTCTGTATTTTAGCATGGCAAGGAAATCCAATAGAACGTCCAAACTTTCAAGTCTTGCTTGAAGAATTAGAAAAATTATGTAAAAAATATGATTCTACATCTATGGATAACTCAACTTTTGAAATAGTTGAAGAAAATAACGATTCAGAATCAGAAGGAACTATAAATCTTACTGTTCGTCCAGTAATTCCTTTTGAAGAAGGTCTCCGTGCTCACAAAGAGCATAAAAGAGAAAAAGCCTGGGAATGTTTCTGCAAACATGCTGATCTTGATAATCCAACAGCAATATATTGGAAAGGATATTATTATTTAGAAGGTTATGTTGTTGAAAAAAATAAAGAATTGGCCAATAAATTATTCAAAATTGCGGCTGATAAGGGTGATACAAGAGCTCAAGTTCGTTATGCACTTTCACTTACTGATAATATTGAAGATTTTCGTGTTAATCAAGAAAAAAGAGAAGAATTTATTAAATATTTAAACATGGCAGTTAATGGTGACGATTCTGCTGCTATGTGGCATTTAGGTGATACTTATTATAATGGGAAACTCAACTTTGAGAAAGATAAAGCTAAAGGTATTGAATATATTAGAGATGCAGCTTTAAGAAACTTTTCTAAAGCTGTTGATTTTGTAAAAAAATTTAACATTGATTTGCTTCAATGAAACTAATAATAATTGGTTTTTAATGAATTTTTATGGTAATCTAGTAGTATGTTTTATTAAATTATTTGTTCAATACTTAATATTGTATTTGTATTAGTAACAGGAAATTATTTCTATACAAATTTATTGTATTTGTATTAAATTAGGAACTTGCATTCATTTATCAAATATATGCTGTATCATCGTAAAAGACTTTCTAAATGATAAATTATAACAAATATCATTGCAAAGAATTCATCGATGGATGAGTAAATCCACGATAAAAATATATACCAGATATTAGATTATTAATTCGATTATTTGAATTACAATCTAATTATTTTGATCGTATGTATAAGAAAAAAAAGCGAGAGAATGTTTCTAATATACCTTTGATTCGCATTCATTAAACATCGTAAATAAATACAGTATGTTTAAATCTAACCCGTGTTTAATGACGGGTCTAACATTTAGTACTTTATTTAAAAAAAGCATATATGGTGCTATCAAAGGAAAACAAACCTCCCAACCAAATCACCAAAATCATCAATATAACGATATCAGTCGTGTCGTAGATGATAACTGATTATTCATCTACTAAAGACTTCGACTGATAACTTTGTTATCCGAAAATGTGTACAAGGTTAGCGGCGCAGACAAAATTTTTAAAATTCGGTAAGGTTAGGGTTAGGGTCAGGGTTAAGATCTAGAGTGGTTAGTTTAGAGAGTAAAATTGTCCAACGAAAACTTTGATTTTTGAGCTATGTGCGATTTTGGCAGAACGAACGTTTTGTTTGAATCTTCCTGATCGTGTTACGTTACACCTAATCTTTAAATCTGATTCGTAGTTCAGGAGAGCTGCGCCGCCAACCTTCTACACATTTTCAGTATGCGTTATCCGACATGTCTGACGTAAGCACTGAATGGTTTCCGCGTAACTTACATCTGATAAGTACCAATTTAATATTTCTATTCGCCAATCAAATTCATTATGATAAATTATAAACTAAACAAGAGATACAGTGAAAACGACACGTAAATCTAAGAATATTTCCTGACAGGATTTATTTTAAAGATTTTCAAATTAACTTCAGAAAGTGCGACTAACAAACTTAACAACATTGAAAGAATTGTATCAACTGTGATTTAGATAATAGCTTAAAAAACTTGATATTGCTTGCTTCAAAGGTTTATATATCATTAGTACGTATTTCGTTGTGAGAAGATTAGATTTTTATTTAGGGAGATCAATGTTGCAAGTCGGTACAACGGTCAGAAGCCAATTACTAAATTTAATCTGATTTTTACTCAGCGTCAGAGGCTATTAGCTAAACTATTCATAAGCGATTGTAAAAAAAAGGTATTTTATAATAAATTTTGTGCACTGACAGTAGTATATTACGAAGTGACTTATATAATGTTTATATTGGAGACTGAATCTTTGCAAGATTAGTCAACAGGTTATTAGACACAATTTATGGAGACTTATTAAATACTTATTCTTTTGGAATGACTACATATGTGGAAAATTTTTCGGAAAACATGTTTACAAATACTCCGATTATTATATCAAGATCACTATATCAAGATCACGAAATATTTAGTAAAAGTACCCTGATTCGTATGTGTATATACGGAAATGAAGTTTTTTGTTAATATCCGACAGCTCGGGAAATTTTTATTCAACTACGTGACATGTATGGATGTAAACTTAATTAAATTTAATTGCTAAAATAATTTTATTTTTCGAAAATATTATTGTTTTGATAATTATA